TAGAGAGCGCACAATTCACGATTAAGTTGGAGACGTGCGAGTTCGGTGTCCAAGCAGAGCGGTGCAGGTCACGTGGTACCGGATATTCGAATAGTAAGATGCCATTCAAATATTTTATTATTCGCCCTAGTTGTTACGTGTGTTGTTGTTACGATGACTTGGTATTTTAAATACGCGCTCAATGGTTTGTTGCTATTTTACCTTGCGTTGTTTGTATGCGGCACTCCATAACTTTGAGATTTGAAATGCGGCTCTGGGACTAAAAAAGTTTGAGAACCACTGATCTAAACTGCACTTCTGTTTTGGGGGATCCCCTGACTATCGATCGATAAGTCTTCGGTTTCCAACCGATATTCTCGTTTGTTCCTTGAAAATGATGACTGATGCAAGAGTATCTGTAACATGGCACGTGCTTTCGGTCCTAGTGGGAGGGTCAATAACTGTATCAGCAATAAATTCTGTGAGATCTTCCGGAAGATCATAGCTATCGTCATTGTCATTATTTTCAGATATGAAGGTTGTATCGTCACTTTCGCTAAGTATTGTGCCAAAATCGATTACATTATTTCCGTCGCTATAATCACTATATTATGTTCTAATGTAATATTAAGTTCAGTGTCAGCATTGGCAACAGATCCAGAAGTTATTCATTCGTCTTGATCTTCAATGTAATCTATTGTACATGACAGAAATTGGTCCAATTTCGTAATATCAAAGTGAACGTCTCTAAATAGTGGGATTTTGATAGACTGGTAATATTGTTTCGATATTTGATCGAATTTCAGCTTCAACGCATATCATAGATCCGATCACCCGAAATTCCCTGAATCTTGGAATATGAGCAACTCTTATGAAGGGAACGGCCAGCTTCAATAAGTGCGCTTCACATCGATTCAACCACATATCTTGAGTTATAAGTTGCGGTGGTAAATGAATGACTTGAAACTGATAATGTCTTTCATTACATGATGGAATGAGGCCAGCATAGATAGCTTTCGGCATTGGTGGCCAATGACCATCATATGATTTGTAGTCGTCTGTGAGCATGCACTTTTCGCTCAGAAAAGAATTTCTCCTAAACGGCTTTTCAACCTTTATGCATGCAAGATTAGCCTTGGACACATTTCCACGGCAGTGGTATCGACAATCGCTGACACATTTGTGAACAAAATGTGCATTGCTGCTAATGTCCCTTCTGATACGGTCTAAAAGATTTCCTGCTCTCAATCTCTTTGCCTTTGCAAAGCGATCATGAAAAAGCCGACGTCGTCTTCTTTTTGAACTCTCGGAAGTCTCTTGTTACGGGTTCTACATTTATTAGACATCTGTCTGTTTTCCAGTTTCCCCGGAGTTTTCGACGCTCTTTGAGATTGAGTTTTGCTTTTAGCAGCCAACAACCTGCTTTCACGTTTCTCCGGAGTTTTCGACGCTCTTTTACATTGAGTTTTGATTTTATCAGTCAACAATCTGCTTTCACGTTTCTCCGTAGTTTCCGACGCTCTTTCAGATGGAGTTCTGATCTTAATACCAATAATCTGCTTTCACGTTTCTCCGGAGTTTCCGACGGTCTTTCAGATTGAGTTCTGATTTTATATGCCAACAATCTGCTTCCATGTTTCTCCGGAGTTTCCGACGCTCTTTCAGATTGAGTTCTGATTTTATCACCCGACAATCTGCTTTCACGCGTCTGTTGAGGCTCTTGCAAATTGTGTTTTCAATTTATTGAACAACCAACCGCCTGCTTCCAAGTTTTTCTGGACTTTCCGATGCCTTTTTACATTGAGATATGATTTTATTAGTCAACAATCGGTTTTCACGTTCCTACGGAGATTGAGTTTTCATTTTCTCAGCTAACCGTCTACTTTCACGTGTTTCAGTGGATTCCAATGCTCTTCTACATTGATTTCTGATTTTATCAACAGCTTTTCTGTTCTCGCATTCATCGGCAGATTGGAAGTGTCTGGCTAATCGCTGCAAAACACCTCCCCGGCGTACCTTTGAAGACTTCTCCACAAGGATGGTTTCCGGTACAATGGCTTGTATAGACTGTACATTATGCGGGCCATCTTCAATCAGACTGTTGCTGCAACATTCGTTCAAATTTTGCGTTTGGCTTGTTCGTGTTTCCAATAATCGCTTGATAGCTTCTTTTTGCATAGGCATCATGATTACAACTTGAGCTAACAGATCATATATACATATAAGATTCAACATTTTCACGACACTTTACGGCCCAATAGAATAGGATTATTTTTCCCATATTTAAACAATGAGGTCAGCTTATCAGTTTGGTTTGGATATAGCAGTCCCAATTTATTGACGTAAATAGTTGAAGAAGCCCTAGCCAGCGGATAGGAAAACCACCCTTTGACAGCGAGAAGTACAGTATACCTCAAGCACATAATAATTCCATATATTGAGAACACCTGCATCGGCCTATCCAATCCTCATTTTCGCTTGGATGGCTAATAATAAAACATGTATACACTAAAATTTCCGAGGCTTCGCCAGTCTGGTAATCAGGCTAAAGTTACTGAATACGTCACTACTCACTCTAACAATCCTTAAAAAATTGCAGACCCCTAACGACATGCAATGACCAGTTACGAAGCCCGCACTGGTTACCATCCATAAAAAATTACCGATCTTAAAGCAGCGGCCCGATTACTTAAAGAGCTTGTTACCAAAAAATGACAGTTTATTTTGAACTCTGCGCGTTCCGTTGACATACTCGCGCCAATTGAAAAATGATGTTCATTAAAATCCTTAACGCTTCTCCAGTTTATGGAGTGTCGAGACCGAAGACGACGTTTTGAAAAGGAGCATTTTGCTATGCGGAAGGTAGCTTTCTTGGAATTTTAATTTTCAACTTCGCTGGCGAGAAATTGTGAAAAAAAGGAGAACTTTCATAAAGATCGGCGCGTTTTTCGTTGTTACCATGGAGACGAAACTTCACATTACTAGAGTGACAGGATAACCCACGTGAAAAATTTCATCCAGATTGGTCCAGCCGTTAAGACGCTACAATTAAACAGACAGACAGATACACAGACAGACAAACAGACATAACGACTGATAATAAGGGACTCATAGAGCGGAGATCCAAAATCTGAACAGTCCCTCGACGCTTCCGAAATTGATCAAAATGTTCAGCATACATTTTGTGAGCCCACAAGTTTTGAAGAATATCTTAGTTCAAAATAAATGAGCTGAGGAATTGATTGTCTAACACAGGAGTGGCCAACCTTTCACATACCATGCGCCACGTTTTAAACATAATGTTTCAGATGCGCCGTAAATCTCTTGTATTCCCACGCCTAATGTCCGCTTCTTGTTGAAATTATATAAATTTATAATACACACACATATATACACACGTATATGTAGTTTTCACAATTTATAACTTCACATGAATAGAAATTAAGCAAGGAAGTATTATAAATAAAACTGATCAATTTTATTTAAGTGCCGCCTTTATGAGACTTTTGCTGCTGTTTTACTTTCGCCATTTTTTTATTCTTGGAGTTAAGGTTGTTACTGGGAGGAGCAGTGCATTCTTCAAATTTAAATCTGTAAGTCTTGACCTTGCTTTGCTTTTAATTAGTTTCGTGGCAGAAAATGTTTGTTCACATCTATATGTCGTTCCGAAACGACATATAAAACCCTGGGCAAATTCTAATCGATTCTAATTGGCCTTTGCTAATCAGCTGTTTGGCCTAGCGTCGCGTGATTTTACTCCAGGCTTCTTCGAGATTAGTACTTGCGTCACAGCAAGCGATTTTACGCTTCGCTTTTGTTGACAACGATCATTTGAAGTTTGGATGAAAAAGGTGGTATTTAGGGGTCATTTTCAGCATGTTGTGAGTTGATTTATAATAAATTTTTTAGGCTTGGGCAATTCAACTGGTTGTTCAATGGTTATTGGGAGATATTTGGGAAGTCTGGGCAATAAAAAATTCATGTTTCAAGCTGATAAATGAGGATTTTCTATTTTTCCAGAAGTTCTGAACTTTTTACTTCAGTAGGGAAAAAATAGTAAATTTTACTAATTTTTGCTAAAAGTCTAGAATGAATGTCATAAAGTCCGTCCAAAAGCTAACGTCGATAATCGCCTGTTGTTTCTAATTCCAACAAGCCGTAAGGGGCGACGTGGAGTAAGGAGAATAGATTTTAGGTACAATCAAAAGTCACCATGTAAATCGCAAAAAAACGGCTTGGCGTGGAGAAGCCAAGTGCAATTAACAATTTTGGCATGAAAAGGGTTAAAGATTCAATGCGCCACCTCTAATCATGCAATGCGCCACGTTTGGCGCATGCGCCATAGGTTGGCCATCCCTGGTCTAACACATGGATGTGCAACCTTTAATACAAGAGGGACATATACAAATAACTGGGTGAAACCGCGGGCCGCAACTTCATTTAACATACCTATGCTTTCTGGTAGTTGCAAGCACAAAAAATGTGGGTTTGTTGATCTTATGACATGCGTTGTTCGCTTCGTACAAGCTATATGTTAGGGCATTGAATGTCATAGGCATAGATAATGAATTCGACTCAGGTATAGGTTTTGCTTCCTTTTGTGCAGCATTTGGCACGCGGGCCGCAGGTTGCACACTCCTGGTCTAACACGTCTTCGGCTGTTAAATGCGGTATTTCTACTTATTTTCATATTCATTTTCAGATATGTTCTCATTGGTGTTTTATTCAACTACCATTTTATTATTAATAATCATGTGCATACTTCGATCACTGTTTATTAATAGTCCCACACTACATTTTATAACCCCAATTCTTCTTGTCATTATTGAATGTGCACCTTCTTTTTTTCTTACGATACCTAGAAAACGTGCACTTCATTCTTCACTTCAATTACATCCCAGTTGACAACATTTTGTCCAAACTAAATACAGAAGTAACATATAAAACATTTTTGAGGTCAGTAACAGGAGGAACATACTTGCGATGTCGTGTATACATTTGTATTTAAGTTCGTGCAATATGCTTGCATATGTACAAAGTACTCTGAACATGCTAACAATTCCTCATAATATATAGAGATGTTGCAATAAGTCTGCATATTTACTCAAAGTCTGTCATGTCAATTTTTATCTTATTTTGTAAAATCAATCGACTTGTCGGAACATCCTGAAAGCTTGAATTTCGGTCGAATTCCAAAATCGCTGAGATTGTTAATAGCTCTGATAATGGTTGGAACAACTGCATTAGGAGTCGCAGTGAAAGCCCGTATGATGTAACCACCTAAAAATAGCAAATTTGTTATTACTTTGCTACAGGAAATAATTATTTTTTTCAATTTCCGCTTTTGTTACTGTATCGTTTATTCTAAATAGCAAAGATGAAATAACTATTGTGAAGAGGTACGGTGCATTTTCCCAGCTGTATGTTTTATCAAATCTCTCCATACTGTAGAAACATATTCAAGATAGTAATCCACATAAATCAATGTTGCAAAAGCTATTATGTATGACCTAAGGAATTATCAAGAGCAACATAAGATAATAACTAAATGCATACGACAATTTTGAAACTGGTGGTAAGTTAATTTTGCTACGTGTATCCAACTAAAAATAAGACATGTAAGAATTCTCTTGCACGCACTCTTCAACTTACTAATAACTAATGCCTTACCTTTTTCATCACATCTAATGTGAAAGAAGTAAGATTCATTGTCCGTCAAGTGAAATGTCTCGCCTTCGCGACTGTTCAGTTGATTTGCTATACGTTGTATAAACAAATGAAATAAATGAATTAATTCCTGGAATGGAAAGATTAAGCTTAGGAATAGGTATTACCAAACTTCTTGAACTATAGTACTTCTATTATATATGTTTTGTACATTTAGCTAGCTTCAGTGTGTTGCCTGTTCTTAAAAAAAGTGACCAAACGAAAATACATCACTTATATGGCTTTTATTTGTTGCACCAAACTGATTGAGATTAACCACACAAGAGCATATTAATATCAAGAGCATATTAATATAAACGATCATATACGATCATATATTTGATATGTTTTGACTTAAAAACTACGTTCATATTCGTTTCAAATATAAGATTTTAATGAAAATCCAACCTTCGATAACAGCTTTATTGTTCAATTTTCCATTACAATTGTAAACATATTTTCCTAAATAAAATACAAAATATGCTTAAAAAGTAATAATGTTAAACTGCTTCAAATAGCATTATTATTACCGCTTTGGCATGCATGAAATATGATCAAAAAATAAAGGAAGAAAAATAATTGAGATAAGCAAACCTTTTGGAAGACGATTATTGTAGTTTCCATTGGGTTGAAGGTATTTGGTTACTTCCACTTCGCCCTCTTTTTTTCTAAAATATGAAATATGGCAATATTTTTTATCAAAACTGTTTAATTTTTAAAAAATGACCTAGAAATTTCTATATTCGTTTTGATTTTAGTTACAAACCTAAATTTACAATTACAACCCGATCCGAGGACCCAATTAAGCAAATTATTCATTATTTCTACTGACGTGATATCATAAACACATGGTATGCCATTTTTCTCAAATAATAATAAACTTGTACATGATAGTGTAAAATATCAATATTTACCCGTTCACAAAATATTTTCCGGTAAACTTGAATCCAGTTTTCGTTAACTTCATGTTTAGAGCTGTTTTGCATTCCAAGTCACTCGTAATAGGATCTCCATTGTCGAATGCAAGATACCAATTTCTTGGTATCTGAATGTATAAGAAAAGCAATGCTCAAATATATGAAAAAGTGGCGCGCGACGGGTGATGTTGTACGGAAATGATTAGCTGAGCAGGAGGTTTCGTGAAAAAATGAGTTCGGTTGCAGAATTGACGTTCGGGTACAAAATTTCCATGTTAAACTTACAATATTAAAATAACTTAATTACCTTATTTCAATCAATTCGATTTTTGCTTTGGGGAACTTTACATACATGTTTCCCTCGTATGACCACAGATAAAACAGATAAATTCAGCAAAAATAAAGCTCCCTTCATCTCGAAGGTAACGGAATGAATAGTATTGAGTACTGACACGGATTAAAACACCAGACAACTTCTAATGTTTAGGTTCGTGAACGAACATGGCATGAACGGAAATAATTCGCACGGCGGAGCAAATGTTGCTTCGACATTTCTGAATTTTTTGAAATGTGAATCGGGAGATTAATGGACTTCGTGATCCTCAGCTCTGTTATTCAAGGGTCTAAGAAGTATTATATTCTGTGACCTCATGATTAAACCACTTGAGTAAAAACACGTTCAGCGCTTTTTATCAGTATATATCACAAAATAAGGCCCAAATAACAATGAAATTATATCGCTAACATCTCCGTGAAAATATAGCTACAATTATAAGAGTATCACCGTATTGAGCTATATTATGAATGTCTTACAATAAACGGAGATCTGAAATTTCATTTTGCTTGTAAAAGTATGTTTTGCTTGGTATAATATGTCTAGTGAAGTAAATTATCCTCTGTCTACTTTATTTGCTTTCAGTAAAATATTTAATCTGCTGTGTTGGATATCCCTATTTCAAGCAACGATGACGCTAGGTCAAAGTTTGACAATTTGGTATGATGAGATATAAAACCAACGCTTTTGAATTGAGCCCTCAATTTGTGAAGGAATGCATGTTAGACAGATGGTATTACAAGACGTTAAAGCAAGTTTGAGTTACATGTAAAGATGTGAGTTCCACAATTTTGAAAACTTCAATTGGAATCCAATCGAAACAAATTTGAAGACTAAGTTATACAAACTCATTTATTTAACGTATTTCCATTTTCGCCAATTGGTTTACAGGGCGGCTTCGTCGCAGGGTGGTTTACAAACGACTTATCTGCGCCAACCACGTTCGCGGACGCATTGAACTATAGCCTGAGAAGGCGTATATGGTCAAGTCATCGATATTTGTGGCATTTCGAAGAGTTTATTGCGAATACGAAGTGCTTGGAAGGTTTTGAAATCCATTTTTCTTTAACATATTCAAGAAAAAAAATAATAAAAAACCTTGATTTAAAACAATTCTCTTTGAACAATTTCCTAGTAATAATCAACGAATCGGTATAAATGTATTTAATTCTTCGGATAAATGAAAATAATATTCTTTTTACCCTTAGTCATATGCAAAACTTTTTCATAGTCGAGTAGTCGTGTCAAATGTATTAAGACAATTGTGCCGTGTTGTTAGCTGACTGGTGTAAACATCATAAACTGCGTGAACGACTTGTTGGATATATTCTTATAAAACAATAGTATGTAACTGGGCACGATATGTAGAAACTTGCAATGTTCTTTGTCATGTTAGTCATCAATGTAGTGTATTTTAATTGAGCCATATTTTTATATAATTTATTTGAGCCTTGCTCTGTTGTTACGGAGTCTCTCTTTGATCCATAAAAAGGTGAACTGGATAAAATGAAAAATTGTGGGCCGATATCGTTAATAAATACTGATTACAAAATCCTAACGAAGAAATTAGCAAATAGTTTGAAATATCTTTTACGAAATATAATATATATATAAATTGCATATTTGACATTTTACAGCCGACCGTTATAAATATATTCAATGTGTGCATGGGCTTTAACATAATTTTGGTAATTTTGAATCATGAGCAACCACGTACTATTTTTGCCGGTCGGTTTTGGCGTGGATGGATTCACATGGATTCTCTCAGGGTCGCCATATTAGTAGCATAAGATACTATTTACCTCTGGAAAGAGGAAATCTAATAAAAATGATTAACGTATTGCAAACTATGTCAAGTCAATCAGTACATTTGTGATCATGACCATTCCAATATATTGTATTCGATATTCATATAATGTGAAAATTGTGTACGTAATTATATCAGGAAAAGCTAAAACATCATCAATTTACAACTTTACTCGAAGAATATAAACCAGCACATGGACGTATATTTTTTATTCAGTTGGTAATCTTGGGGATAATACAGGGCTTGGCATTCAGTTTCCGAGATAAATACAGCGAAGAGTACATGTTAAGTCTGTTACTCTTATAAGCTCATAAAATGATTAGGATGCTCACCGCACATGAAGTTTGTGCATTCTTTCTATATGCAGTCAGAGCAAAGAGTGTGTGTTTGTATAAGCAAATTTACTGAAAGCAAGGATACGCGCATCGCTCCAAAATATAGAACAATGATCTCTGAGCAAAGTTACAGGAGGCAATGAAGTTGAGAGAGCTTCTGATACTTTAAATAAGCATGGCGTAGAAATAAGAATTGTTATTCGTTGGGACTGCAACACGAAATAAAAACTTTATCACAAAACTTAGATTTGGAAATGTTTGTTTGTTGAATACAAAATTTATCACGAATGTAAAATTCGAATTATTCGTTTGCTGAATATGAAAATATTTACAAAGTCTCGAATTTTAAAACTTTGTTTACCGAATATGAGATATAATCTGCACAGCTATTTGCAAATTTACGAAATGTGTCGTTTCTGCACTTGTTTCAGTCCTATACATTGTTCAAAAGAATATGAGCAAATATATTCAGACCAAGCGAAGCAGTACAGTAGGAAACAAAATGGCGCCCGATGGCCGCAGAACGTTCGGTGACGTTATAGCCAAAAATTGTCAAATAACAACAAGAACAACATAACAACAAAACGATCGTTATGTCCACTAAACGTGTCCAATAAGCATATGGTTTGCCTTGTAGGGTTGGGAGTGACGGTGTCGTAGCAATTGTGTTCATCAGACAGTGGGTAAAAATTACTAATCGAGTACGCTGTGAGCAATCTAATGAAGATAAACAAGAGATCTATGTTCAAATAAATGGGCACGTGGCGCCACATAGTGTCCAAATTGTGATGACTTATATCACACAAAGAAACGAATCCCATGCAGCTCACTCACAAGTTCTAAACGGTGTACATTTGACTGACGGCCCGATCATCAGCGGAAATAATGTTCAACGTAAATCAAGCAAAAAAAAAGTCGGTGATTGGACAACAATTTTGACTTTTAAGTTTACCGCAGACAATACTTTCCACTGAAGTTACACTTTAATTACTCATTGTATTTGTAGATGTGTTAACAACTAATTCATTTCAGCATTTTAACCCATTTTTCTTAAATGTGTGATAATTATGATAGAAATACATTCGGTCATTATCGATTGTTTGAGCAAAAATTCATTTCATCTCAAAAGTATTGTAAGATAATAGGAGGAAGTAAAAATCTACCACGAAGGGTTAATTCATACCTCAGAAAGGATACCTAAGTTCATAATATGCACTATTTTTAAGGCGATGAACGAGATCCGTCAAATATTTTAGGCTAGAGCGAAATGTTAACAGGAAAACATGTTTCTGCCTGGGCCCGAACCACTTTATGGGGACCGTTTGCAAACGCGATGACCACTACACTACGGAAAGACATCAGAGTCGTTTCTAAGCCGATTCGACGAACCACGGATGTATGCGTTTCCCATATGTAGAGGTCATCACGTTCGCCTAACACGCGAAAGATTATTGTTAAGTCTCCCAAGAGTTATTGTTCATTATAATATGACCCACCGGCATATACGTTTCTGTAGTGTAGTGGTCATTACGTTCGCATTACACGCAAACGGTCCGCATCGTTTTAAAATTAGTATTTATCTAGTTAGTGTTATAGGAATGATTTGAAAATTGGAATTTCTTCTTTCTATTCAATCTTCTTCTTTTTTTTTAACTTTGAGCGATAGCGAGGGTGTTTATTTTTAGGAAAGATACCTCGCTTTAGGAAAGATCCGAAATTTTGGAACGAACGATTTCATGGCATTTAAAGTAAGATACAAAGTGGTAAGGGAGTCGTTTTCAACACTATTTTGCTCTATTCAAGAGCTATTCACTGATAATTGGCCGTTTTGGGGCTTACTATCAATTCATACACCGAATTAATAATCCGATTTGGCAAAAATGCGCGATTGTATAGCCTGGAGAACTCGGCGGTGAAATAAGTCTATAAAGGGGATTTGAGCGTAACATTAGATATCAGTGACTGCTTAAATCTTGCCTTGTTCGTAGCAAAATCGGGCGAATAAGAATCCGTAATACGTCATATAAAAAATAAAATAAAATTGGGTTGCCAAATTTTTGGCTGGCTACGCCCTTACCGATGTAAATAAAGAAGTCGATTATTACGGAAAACATCAATTCTTATCGATACTTGGAAGTATAAGATTGGGATTTCAAATTTGGGGATAAGAAATGGAAAAAGTTTACACATTTATTTATTGTAGAAACTATGCATAAACAACTGACAGGCTATAAAAGCAATGTTCTGTACAAAGCTTCCACCAACGCTTTAAATGAGAAAATTAGTAATTATCCAGTTAAGAATGCATATTGCGCCGAACATGACAATTTTTATTCATTCCGAACCAACTGAATAATTATTTATTTTTTATTTAAAACATGGCAGGATTGTTTCTTAGAATCTTACATTTTGTGTATTAGTGGCGGAGGCTTTGTACAAAAGATTCAATGAGATTTCCCATAAGATTTGAAAGCACGATCATGAATATGTTGCTAGCTTAATTCGTAAAGTGAGATATTTTGAACTACGTGAGAAGTGAAACGAAAAAATAGCTTACTTACGTTGGTAGAGAAAAATATCAGTCTTCGAAATAAAAATGCGAAATGTATATTGTATTCCAGACGGAGAAATCGGTGCCTTTTTATTAATAAAATTGCATTATTACTAATCCCGGGGATCGGTGAATAAATATTAATCTGACGACCATAGCAACAGAGCAACCAGGCATCTTTTTATTAATACAATTGCATTCTTACTTATTCCGGGGATCGGTGAACAATCAGCCACAAGGCATACCTACAATTTAAGTTTTATATGTCCTGACTTCTTCAATTCACTTATTTTTATACCCTGGTGACTTCTCTCTATCTCATTTCTGCTACTGACCCCGACTGGATGCCGTCCTTGCAGGTCATAATTACCTGTGGTATCCGACTTCCTTCTTGTGTGTTGCCG